AGACAAGACTAAAGATGCAGCAATCCTCATTCCGACACCGGACGACAACGCCATGGGATGTGCTTACTGCAGAGGTTGTGATACTACCGTCTGTAGGAAACTTCCGAAATGAACTGCAAATTTTTTGGTCTAACTGTGCATTTACCTAAAGGAAAATGTACTTTTTATGCTTCAGGTTAGCCGATGAAAAAATGTTGCTTGCTGATCTACCCAGTAAACTGAAATGAACAGAGCACATATATGTTTACTGACGTCTTGTACCATCCGTTGCGAACACGAATGTTACGCTGCTCTCCGCGATATTGCAAGCAAAAGGTTTGCTTTTACATGTTAAGGCAATTTCGATAGTTGATTCCACGGCATAGAAACGCGGTAAAGTGCGTATAAATTCTTAACATGGTAGCCAAGGTTGGTTAGATGCAACTGGCATAATCCTCTCAACTAGCTTTGTTCTATAATTGTCGAGATGTGTCACAAATTTGTCGGTTAAGGAGTAGAATGAAGGTAAACTAACTGGGCCAGCTTTTTAGAAAGTCAAATGACGAGAGACTGTGGTGGTTAATGATTCTAGATCAGCATTAATCACACACCATGTCCGCCCTAACTAATGTCAAAAGTGAACAGGCTGCGAGAAACGATCTGTACTATGCACAGTGCGAATTCCCATGGGTTGTTTGTTTATTTGTACATCAAACAAGACGTTCGTTCGGAAACGCGCAAGCAGCGGCGTGCTGTTTGCGGGAGCATGTCGTGTCCGTCACAGCAATAATGAACGACTAGTTGAATGCTCAACATGTAGTTGGCTGGCTCAGCGGCAGAGTAAGGTGAGCATGACCACGAGGGCCAACGTGTGACAGGCGACACCGATCGATGCCTGTGATGTGACATCAGTTTGAAGGCGGTCCTGGTCCAGCCTAAGTGTGTCCGTGCTTTGACGTTGTGTCTGTAAGTTAACACGGTTGTCGCGGCCGTCGGTTGATTAAAAGGGGCTGGAACAAAGGGCATTGGAGCGGCCTCTACATATATATTAGCCTGATACTAATTTCATGTGAACGGTTTTTTCAATGGCTTACATGTGGCCATGGTTCTCTCGTACACTGAACGCGTGTACTCGGGTATTTTTTCCAGGTTCCTTCAACTGGGTTCAACTGAGCCCAACTGAGCACGAAGGAATTGTTCTGCGCTCCATCTGGGACAATTTCGACTTGGTTACCATTCCACAGTTACAGTCTCTGACATTGATACTGGAACCGTACGTACAGAATTACTTTGTGCATTTTTGGAATATTTTTTCACGCATCGAAATTCGCCAGGAACCTGGATTAAGTGCAATTTGTTTATCAGCACGGTCCAACTGATAACGGAACTGGCTACGCAACCGATTCGCGGATATACAGCCTAGAAAACCAATCGCTCAAAATCCTTCAAGGTCTGCAGTAATTCAAGTCCCACGAGATCTGGAAAGGGCTAAGTCGCTTCTGATTAAATTCAACAAAATTAATCGGATTTTAAGTATTTTTCGATTATTGAGTTTTGAATACTCACTTTGATTCATCATATATAAGCCGACGTATTCGTTATAACATCGAAAGCGAAATTATACCTATTATATCACGTCGAAGTTTATGGATTCTCAGCAAGCTAACTGTAGTAGTACGGCTAGCGGCGGCACCTCTTTGGAAGATATGTCCGGTGAGTTGTCCTTCACATCCAGAACCTGTGCTCGCTCTAACTTCGCCTCCAGCCAACGACCAGCAAAGCGTGCAAAAAGCGTAAATACCGCAAAAAGTGTGAGGTACGAAGACGAGCCTTGTGGTGGGTGCGCAGATATTCAAATCAAAGTAGGACAACTGGAAAAGGAGCTTGCTGATTTAAGGACGCTCGTGAAACATACCCTAGTCGGCCAGAACGTGTCCAGTGTTAGAATCCCAAAAACGAAGAGCAAAACGCAAAAAAACGCGAAAAAATATCTCCTCTGGGGAATCTTCAAACACGAGTAGCAACTCAACAGCCAAAACCGCAGACGCCGGTAACAGCAGGAGAATGAAAACGAAGCCACCGAAAAAGGGAGACTCGATTCCCACGCACGATGTCTTAAGCGATGTCGCAAAAAAATTACCTGTCGCGGAAGCCATCTCACCTAAGCCTCTTGCTGTAAATGATGGGATTTCTGTTCTGCCTGGAGACGATATACCTGGGTTATCCAGTCTACTCTTGCCCTCTTGTTCTGGCAACTACCCCGAGCGCACTACAGAGCACGTATCTGAATGCGAAGACATAAACCCGTGGGTAGAGGGGAGAGGGAAACGCCATGACAGGATTCTGAAGTCCCAGCCAGCACTGATGGGGTGCTCGGGACAGTCGGCAGACAGTAAAAGTGTGCGTCCAAGCGATGACTCCGTAAATCGTCATCGCCCACATGCAACGCATTCACCGGAAAGACAGAGTAAGGAGGACCATGCTCGCCAGCAGTGTCTGGTTATTCAGGGTTTGTCAGAATCGAATGCAGTCAGACCTGAAGACCGTGTCTCAGAGGACCTTGCTTCCTTTCATGGTCTGCTAAATCATTTACTGCCGGCAGACATGGAAATAAAGGTTCTGAAAGCATTCCGGATAGGAAAAAGGAGTGAAGACAGGACAGTAGCACAACCACCTCGCCCTCTCAAAATTATGCTGGAGAACAAAGAGCAAATCAAGTTTATCCTCTCTAAAAAAACCGATCTCAGAAACACACACAAACAGGTTTTTTTCAACCGGACTATTCACCAGCGGAACGGTTGAAACGCCGGGAACTTGTCTTGGAGTTAAAATCAAGACTGAAGGATGGCGAACACAATCTAGCTATCTTCAAGGGGAAGGTAGTTCGAAAATATATGCCGTTTCAGTGGAACCAGCCTGTAATACTACGAACGACGACAGCTACTCAGCTAAAACAGACACCTTCGTTGAACCACCTGATCAAGGCGCCAACACAAGTGAGCCCGTAGCGTCCAGTGGTCTGACTGAAACAAGGCATGTAAATGGAACCAATCAGGTAACGGAAGAGCCTAGAGAACACGACGTCCGCGATAACGGAGTAATGCTCACAGCAGTAAGAAATGCAACGGGAAATTCGGCTGGTGATAAACTGAGGTGCTTGTACACGAATGCCCAAAGCCTCATATCGAAACTAGACGAACTAAAACTTTGCCTTGTTGAGCTGTCTCCAGATGTTTTAGCAGTAACTGAGACCTGGCTGTCCGGGAATATTAGCGATAACGAAATAGCCTTGCCTGGATACCAAATTTATCGGAGGGACAGGGAACATCGTCAGGGTGGTGTTATCGTTGTGTATGTGAATGACGGTCTGGCAGGTCGGATAACACCACCACGTTTGCGTTCAGTACGGAAGCTATCTGGTTGACCCTCAAGGCTACCGGTTCCCCGTGTCTCGATGTCCTCACTGTCTACCGACCACCTCGGACAGACCGAATCGCCGACACTCAACTATTGGAGCAGTTGGAGAAATTTTCCAGTCGACCTAACATCATGATCATGGGCGACTTCAACGCACCAGGAACAAACTGGAATACCCTCCAAGCGTCAGGTCCAAAATCGGCATTCGATTACCGCCTGTTGAGCAAGACATTAAATGCGTGCCTCACACAACATGTAATGTTCCCAACGAGAACACGTGAAGGACAAAGGGCAAACTGCCTGGATCTGGTCTTTACGAAAACACCAGACAGCATAGACGAGATCGCCTCCATGCCGCCCCTTGGCCGAAGTGACCACGTAGTGCTTATGTGGAATTATTCGTTATTCTCCATTTCACACACTCCAGACCACAAAAGACGTAATGTTTGGCGGGGCGACTTCAATCAGATGAGGGCAGACTTATCCGGTCTTGACTGGGGATCTTTGTTTACGGGAAGTGCCAACGATGACTGGGAGTTTTTCAAGAATGTACTTCTGCAGCTTATCAATAACCACTGCCCACTGACTAGTGTAAGACTGAACAAACGCCCTGGGTGGCTAAATAGCAACCTCAAGAAAAAAATCAACAGGAAGCACAAATTGTGGAGAAAATACTGCGTCACTAGACAAGCTGAATGCTTCAACACCTACAAGACACAGAGGAACAAACTGAGGAAGCTGATAATGCAGACGCGGCGGGAATTCGAGAAGAACTTGCTACAAAAAGCAACGCAGAACCCAAAATTGCTCTACAGCTACCTCCGACGAACTACAAGGAACAGGCATCAAATCCCTTTGATAAAGACTACTGATGGCGTTGAGATCGCTGATAGTAGGGACAAAGATGCGTATTTTTCACGGTTTTTTCAATCAGTCTACACAAACGAGGCAAGGTTCCTTCCTCCCTCCACAGAAGAACTGCCGACTCCAAGCGTCAGTCATATACTTTTCTCAGAAGGCATTGTCCGAAGAGAATTAGAGGCATTGAACGAATCGAAGTCGCCAGGACCAGACGAGATTCCACCCAAGCTTCTGAAGGAACTTGCCAGTGAGCTCTCTGTGCCTTTGTCGATGCTCTTTCAAACGTCATTTGACACTGGAACACTTCCTATCGATTGGAAGCTGGCGCATATTACTCCGCTACACAAAACAGGTAACAGGGCAGAGACGACAAATTACCGGCCCATAAGCTTGAGATGCATTCTCTGCAAAGTTTTAGAAAGGATCATAATGACTGAACTGATGCAATTCCTGGAAGTTCACGGCCTGCTATCGAAATGTCAACATGGGTTCCGAATGGAAGATCCTGCACGACAAACCTGCTGCAATCTCTCCAGAGCTGGACCCGAGCTCTCGACGACAGGCACGAGGTCCACATAGCCTTCATCGACTTCCAGAACGCTTTCGACACTAAGCCACACCAAAGGCTCTTACATAAGCTGAAAAGAATAGGGATCAGTGGCAACTTCCTTAAATGGATCGAAAACTTCCTTGTGGGTCGACACCAGGTTGTGTGCGTCGGTCGGGGAAAATCAGATCCGGCTATGGTCGATAGTGGTGTCCCCCAGGGTTCAGTTCTGGGACCCATTTTGTTCCTTATCTACGTGGACGATGCCGCAAGAGATTTAGACTGTGAAGTAGCAATGTTTGCGGATGACATTAAGATATGGAGTGTAATTCGCGGTCCTGCCGATGAAGACAGACTGCAGATGAACCTGAATCGGTTGGAGGAGTGGTCAAACAAATGGCTCCTGCGGTTCAACGTTGCCAAATGTAGCATACTTCGCCTAGGCAACACAGCCAGATCCGCCAGCACAAGAGGCTACTTTCTGGGCGGTGCAGCCCTACAAGAGGTCGAAGCCCAAAAGGACCTCGGTGTGCTTACGACGAGTTCCCTAAATCCATCCGCCCACTGTTCGAGGGTGGCAGAAAGCGCAATGTCCGTACTGTACGCCATCAAGCGTGCGTTTATGGACTTTGACGAAGAAGCTTTCTCTAAGACACTCGGAACATTCGTCCGGCCGCATTTAGAGTACGGCATACAAGCTTGGAGGCCGTGGGCTGTTGTGGATCAAAACTGCCTCGAAAGAGTCCAGAGGAGAGCCACGAAGATGGTTAGGGTTCAAAGCTCCCTTCCTTATGCAACCCGCCTAGTAAATCTGAACCTCTTTCCTTTGAGTTACAGGCAACTTCGCGGAGATCTTTTGCAAGCCTTCCGCATTGTAAAGGGGTTGGATTGCAGTCTGGCCTTCGAGGACTTTTTTGAATTTGCTACCACGACCAACCTCCGAGGTCACCCGTTAAAACTGCGCACTCAGCAGGCACGGCTGGATGTGCGGAAGTTCTCCTTCTCGGTTCGGGTGGTCAAACCATGGAATGAGCTTCCCGCAGATGTTGTGATGTCACCATCTGTACAAAGTTTTAAGAAGAATCTGGACATATTTATGTTCCGAAATGGCCAAGAGCGATGAGAAGTCGAGCTCACCCCCTGTAACTCCTTCTCATTTTGTCCCACCATTATGGGCGTGTTCTAACTATTTCAGCCCAGAACATCTATCTGTACACCACACATTTTTTACGTTGCAAATAGGGTACTCAAAGGCTTACGCCTATTTCCCTCAATAAACTGAAATGAACTGAACTGAATGGCGCTATGATCCATTTGAGTTTATTATTTTGGAAGTTTATTTGTGTGGGTAATTCTGTCCTAGGTTGTCGGCACCATTCCTTTAAGGATATTAAGTTAATGAGGCACCTTACCACGTGAACCCCTGAAAACTCCCTTTTTAAATCGTCTTCTTCATAGTACGACTATGAACATTCCATATTTGCCTGCCAAACGTGACATAGGGCTGAGTTTAGGATTCTATTCTTAGTTCACTTGACAGTCAAGAAAGGTAAATATTCTGACAGCTGAATAATATAATGGGCTCCCGTTGCTTTAATAACGCCCGACTAAACCATGCTGTTTAAGGTCGTTGTAGCGATTAGAAGTTTTGGCGGGTCCTTCGTGCCTGCTTGGACTTCGCCTTTTCGGCTCAGCACCTCTTGACCCTTTCTTTGGGTTTTAATCTTAGTATTGCAGGGTATTCATCAGAAAATAATAAAAATCTCTGAGGAAAATCCCCAATACGATATCACATAAATGGGAGTAGCCTGCGGAATTTAAGTATATGCATATGCGGCTCCCACTCGTAGTCGATTGGGAGCTTCCACCTTTTCCAAATAAAAATGATGTATTTTGTTGATATGGATGTCAAGACTGCGGTTATTCGAGTACATCAGTACCCAAACTTGACGCAAACCTCCGACTGCATCAGATGGCAATAGTGCTGACCGGTTTCCTTGGCTTTTGTTGTTTGGGGGGCAGGAGAGGTCAGGTGGTAGGCTGGAAGCAATGCAATAAACAAGAAGACGCGAACACAGACTTGAATCCGTAAACGAGGCCGACTTACTCTCGCTCCTCCCGATCGTTGCGAATGGTTGTTGTCGCTGAGTTGCCCATGGTACATCATCGTGTCCATAGAGTAGGGTTTTAACTTATTAGTTGGATTCTTATCACACCCGTTTCTTCCTGAAAGTCCAAGCTCAGGAGAACAAAGCATGTTTACCTCGTAGGTACTCACTTTTTAGCCTGTATGGGAGCACACACAATTGGTCAGTTGTCCTGTTGTGGCTATAAGGGAGTAGAACGTAGTACGGTACTACGGGTGCAACTGAAGTTATACTTCTTGAGAGAACGCAGAGCTCCCCGTATGCGAGGACTTTATGTTTTGATTTCCTTCTTAAACTCTATATACTGTATACAGTAACAATTAATACACGTCTGGTCCGAAATTCGATGCACCGTATGTGAAAATGTCATTGATACCCACAAATAAACGAAAACGTACACCACCAGACTTACACGTCGCCAGACATTCCTAATACGCATAAGCTGGCCTGCGTTCATATACCACTTAGTAATAAATATTGGAATTCTTACCGTTTTAAACATAGCATGTGGCTTTTTTTGGGAAACTATCAAAAAGACTGCTAGATGACCCTCTATCTGCTGGTCGAAAGTTGTGCATGCTGTATTCGAAGATTAAGGCGTCTCTCAATATGTTTTCACTGGTCTTCAGTTCGGTCCCTTGCACTGAGCTTATAAGCCACCACAACTAACCTTTTAGGCAATTCAGGGACTTTCTAAAAGGAAAAGAAAATGAGTCCCGATGGAAGTAACCTTGCGAAAACAAAGCCTTTTAGTGGCATTGCTTTCCTATATCACCCTTAAATCCTAGGTGGTAACTGCATATGGGAAAAAGCAGCTAACTCCGGCACCTTTCACTTTTTTAGTTCCTATGGGTTTCTTGGTCATTGTATGAGTTCGAGAGGCGGACAGCTATCGTAAGACAAGTGCTTCGTACTACTGGCAGGGGCTGTCAATAGTTCATGGGATATTTCCATTCAGACAGTACATCTGTGTTGCTTATAAGTAATCTAACTAGCGAACGCACACACAGATTTTTGAAAAGTACTTGGTATTATATAGTTATCCGATTATAAATGAGTTCTTAACCTGTTCAAAAATCACTCGTGTCGACGACGCCCCCAGGCGTGGAAGTACATACTTCTGTGAAATTATTCAGGAACTACTATTTTTATCCCTCCAATGTTTTGGGGCGTTTAAAAAAGCGTTTTAAGGACTCGGACTCCTTGATGTACAAGGTGTTCTGACGATGTTCTTGGCTCGTGTTTGGCTAACATGGACAAACCTAGTATAAGGTAGTCCATAAGTTCAGTCATTTTTTCCATTGTTTTTATCCCTAATAAGCACATATTGGGGGTCTGAATTTCATCGCTTGCTTAAAACTTCCTGGATAATGCTGTCCGGGGTCAGTTTCGCTTGCATTGTGTTAAATAGGATCGGCAAAAGTTTAAGATCATAACGCGATAGCGTTTAGTGCCCTTCACTAACTTTAGTGGACGTTTCGACCGTCGAAAGTGACGATTAAGGTGCGACGGGGATCTGCCCAACCACAACCCACCTTACTGCCACTCATCGTGATGAAAAATCTCGGAGTGCGTACAGATAGACGTGGGTTCAGTTGCCGACTAAGCCTAACAGGTTGCCCACACATGTCACGTGTGTTAGTCCGTAACTTCATATAAACGGTCATCTCCGGTATCCCATCGGAGAGAGTTTCCGTAAAGACCACACCAGGAACGACCATTGGATCCTTGGTTTTGTTACGAGGAAGACATAGTTGTTTCTCAGATTGACAGCCTTCTTAGCCACAGTTTTAACACGCCCTGACAGCATGAAAGAACTCTTGACTGTTTCTAACGAGAAGATTGGCCACTGGATCCCAGCGGGACGGGCCCTTCCCTTGGAGTCAAGCCCACTTTGAATGAGATTGGATGAATAGGCTGACCCCATGTCGTCATCTATCATGTGATGCACGCGGCGTTTGGCCCCAGAAAACCGCCTTAAGCAATTGTTACCGTCCAATCCTTCTTCCGTTATCTGGCAATCTGTCATTTATCGTTAAAACGTTCTGTTCCCACAGGCGTCACTGGTTAAAACTTCCATATACTGTTACGCTTAAACGCCTACTTTAACAGGCCTTCAGTTATACTACTCGCTCGCCAATAGACTTTAGTTTTAGTTGGAAGAAAATGCCTCTCCCAGTTTTAATATCTTTCTCGGTTTTTCACATTTCGTTTACTGAAGAATCTTTTACCAGTAGTATCCACAGCCCGCACGGAAGTAATAAAAAGTTATCGAGCCCAGGCTTCTCTTGCCAAACGCTTGGTTCAGAGTCACTTAGGCTAGGTGTTTTGCTATGTCCTTATGCGATTTCGCCTTGCGAAGATTCAAGTATGGACTAAGTAAATGTTATTTCTGAATGAGTTAGGGATTTTCGGACACGGTTTTAAGTCCGAAAGCATTGTTAGCCAACAATCTGAGGATATTGTTTCTTTGCTTCATCATCAGTGAATACTCACTCCTTCTGGGTGACGCGAGTTTTGCTTAAGCCAGTCCACCCTTCCCATGACAGCCACATTTATTTGGTTATTTTTATGCTTAGGCGTCCGGGAACACAGATGAAGGAGTCAAATCCAAGGAAAGTACTGGCTGGAGCGGGGAAATTGTGCACGCCTACAACCTCTTAACCCGTCTCTTTTGCCTTCAGTTTGTCTTCCTCGTCATCTCATTCCTCGTTTTTCTCTTTGCCTGTCATCTATTTATCCCAAACACACATTTTGAGCACGAAGTGCGGCTGCGACACGAGTAGGAATTGTCCTTACTTCTTACATGTCACTAGGCGACCACTGAAACATCGCCAACTGTTTGCCAAAGCTGACCTGGACTTGAGTCTTAAAGGCGCATCGGTGAGTCTTCGACTGCTTTCATTACATCACTGGGTTCTTCTTGTGATTGACCATGTGCTCCTATGTCACATGCTAAACTAGTCTACGTGTTACGGACAAATCCTATCGTTAGCTCAAACCTAAGTTGTGCTAAATTATCCTCACATAAGTCCACTCATCTCCCATACTAAATGCAGTTTTTACAGTTATAATTGTAAATTGGAGTATTCTAGAGCTTACCGATTGAAACTGTTCGTGCTCCGGATTAAGATTCGTGGTTTTTGTGCCAACACATCGTCTCTTTAGTTCCCAGTGAATATTCATTGTGAGCACAGTTTATTCCTTTGAGCGCACTGAGATAACTTTTTTATTGCTATTTTCTGTTGTTCATACAGGCCTTTACCGCAGGCCAAGCATACAGAGTGGATTTCCACCTTGTGGTTCCAGAATCGCCTTCGAATCGTGATGCGGGTAGGTTGTGCATCTGAGCCAGACTTTCCTTGTTTGTTGAGTAATTGGTGTCTACACGTACGATTGAACTCGACACTTTTCTGTAAATTGTCTGTGTACTTCTGTTCATGGCTCTACTTTCTTCACCTTTGGCCCAATGTCACTTCCACAAGTCTAGCACCCAAAGTCTCGGTCGTCGATTTTGCCCTGTTTTTTGTCTGTTTTTATCCAAGAAGTTATTGCCTTATGGACAGCTGAGGACCCCATAATAATTATCTGACCGACTGCAAGTTTTTTAAGTTCATAGATCTCTAAGTCCACGCGGCGAACTCCTGCTTACCCGACCTTGGCTGAGGTTAGGTCTTAGGACGGAAGATGCCTGGAAATAGAGGACCCGTTAGGCACTATACATGTCCATTCGTTTTCTGTAGTGTCCAGTCATTTGTTCAATTAGTTTTAGTTCCTTAACGCTGATACTCTTACGTCCTCGATAAGTACGATGGTCGTCTTGTACCGTTGGTTGTCTCTTTGGTCACCTTTATGAAGCCTTTAAATGCGCCTCTTGTCAACCGTGTGTTGGCCGAATGCTTATGTGTTACACAAAAGCGACTTGATTGAGATTCATATGTACTCTCGAGTTTGTGTCAAACTCTTTTAGAACAGTGGTACATCGACAGGTGAATACAATGATCTACTTGATATTTATAGCTGAAACGCATTTGGAATCCCCAAGGAACTTACCGCCAATTTTTATACTGAAAGTTTATGGTATATCAGAAGAATTCAGTCTGTGCTGGACCATCAAGGGGATTCCAAAGTGGCTTTTGCCGATCAGATTTAGCTGTAGGGCAGAATTCGGACGTTCATTCCTACCTTGGGACTTTAATCGAAGCTCCATGCAGACGGTCGTATAATCAGGATCAGTGAATTATTGTGAAAATTTACCGGGAATGACAGGAGAGACCGCGATGTCAGTGTCTTTGGTATTTGCCCTGGTCCGCCAAGTGGAGAAGACCTGAGGTTTGAATTCGGGCGCCTGCCAGAGTCGTTCTTTCCGTTCAATGTTGCCAGTGTGTTCGTTGAAGTTTTCGGCCACTTAAACTACCGGGGCTACTAGGTAATGTTATGTGTGGATAGGATTCCACTAAAACACGTTCCTTCTCGTGTTGGGTCGTTGGTTTGTGCAAGTGTTCTTATGTTTTCTGCTAGCCGCGCTTTCCAGGGTGATGACAAACTAGGCTCTAAAGCTTTCCAAATCCAACCGAAGAGACTATGTCAACAGCCCTTTGTTTTCCACTTGCCGCGTCTTCATCACCGTAGATGTGGAGGTCAACAATGGGCCTTTCCGCATCTAAGTGGAGAACATTAGTAGAGGCACTTGCACTTCAATCTCGAAATGGCGTTTTAAAGCTGTTGTAAATCCTCGAAGTAAAGGCTTACTGGCTAAGCGTCCGTGCATGTTGGGTCTGGCCGCGTTTTTTCGTTGCCAGTGAAGATGGGTTGTCATGACATTTAGGAGCACGTCCTCCCACGCGGGGTTTCTTAGAGGGCGTCTGATGACCAGTGAGGGGCTAAGCGAAAGACGATGCCCTGGTAGACCATCATTTGTAAGCCCTGCGGATTCCGTTGACCTCAGTACTTTGCGACAAAAGCGCGTAGAGACAGTTGTACCAAACGAGTTTCAATGTTAATCAATTGGCTTAATTAGCTGAGCCAGGCACTATTAACTATCTTTTCTGTTTATCGTTAAGTAGTGGCTGGTTTAAGCGCACATTACCACGTGCGAGTCGAAAAAAACATGCACGTGAATTACAGAGTCAACTTTAGAAGTGCGAATTTATCAGTGTCATCATTCACAAGTTTGACGCCCCCTAATTATTTCCACCGGCTTCTGTCCGCAATGGCTTTTGACTAGTCATTCCTTGTTACCATGCGGTCGCCTGCGGCGACGTTAGGTCGGAATTCCGAAATGGAAAAGAATCATTTGTATTCCATCCCGTGGTTAGTGAACGCCAATTTGAATGTTCATGATCGCAGCCGACAGCACGCATGCTCGTGGCCACAACTGTTCCTCTGCCTGGGGTTGGGTTATGAGTAGACGACGATCAAAAATAAGCCAGACACGGCCTACCCTGTTTTTGCCTAGAGACCATTCAGAGTTTCCCGATTCCCTAACAGCTGTGTCGGATCTTTTCCAGTACGCATTTTTTCGTCTACAAGTGTTGCTGCATTATTTTTATCTCCCTTTCCTTTGCAGGCATGTCATTCGTCGACTTGATTTTTTTCAGTGAAAACGGCACTGCGACTGCCAGACTTTCAAATTCAGTGAGTCGGACCGTGGCTTGTTTGTTTCTGTTGCTGCTTTGATTTCATCCTCTTCACAAATCGTGGGATGCGTTAGCTGTGCAAATACGGGCGATGGGATAAGATGGAGGTGGGAAGATTGTCATTAGCCTATGTATATTTGGCTGACCCAACAAGGGCTCTGAGACTTGACTATTCGGCTAGCAGCAGAGGCATAAGGTCAGCTTGCTAGCTGATTTATTACTGATGACTTAGTTAAATTGATACAAAGATCTGATTTTCCCTCAGTATCCGTCGGCTTCCGCAGCATGCACTGTACCTCGCTGGACCTTTTATATTGCCTGATATTGCACACTTGAATTTCGAAGGTTCCGAGCTTTTATATCAGATTCATTGACTTCAGCTACACCTAGGATGCCGAACTTCTGTCCTCCAATCAAAGTATACCACAGGAGGCGATAATCTCACTGTGAACAGACCTTTTAGATCTGCTGACCTCAGTCAGTTTCACAAATATCGATTTTAGGGTTGCAAGATATCATGCTAGCAGCACAGGTACTTGCTAAAAGCCCAGGCACACCTGTTTCGCCGACATTCTGCCGCTGCGTGGCACAGCTGCGAGGGGTTCTGCTCTTCAGTGGGTCCCCCAACATTCCCCGTCTGCTTTCTGGTAGATAATCCAGTTTACAAATTGTTGCGTCTTAATTTCCACAGAAATTAACTACGAACTTGAAGTAGATCAGTAGGACAACGTGCCCGTGGCTCAATGATAGAGTGTCAAACTCCATGACCAAAGATCCCGGGTTCGAATCTCAAGTGATCCACACTTGGGGTTGGGTATGACTGGCTGATGACGGCTAATAAGCCAGAAATGGCCATTCCGGTCTCCCTTGTCTTTGTCGGCACCATCTAATCTATGTCTACTACTAGTTGCTGTGCGACTGCCTGCGAGGGTTCTAGTATGAGCCCCAAGACACAACGGAACGAGCATGTTCCGTAACCTGATCGGCGGGCGCCCACTGTCATAATTGATATTCCCGATCACAACCGACAGGACAACGGGCCCGTGGCCCAGTGGTAGAGTTTCAAACTCCATGACCAAAGATCCCGGGTTCGAATCTCAAGATCAGTATGCACTAAGGTCTATAGGCTGCTAGTATGGTATCTTGTATTCCTAAAATATACCACTAGCAGCTTATCGGCAGTTAATGAATATTACGCGGTTATCCCGCCGTGGCTGATGGACTTCAGCCCAAATATTCCTTCATCAAATTTCTGTCTGCGCCTACAGACCTTAGTTTATACTGATCCACTCCAAGTTCGCAGTTAATTTCTGGGCCAATTAAAAAGCAACAAATATTAATTCGTTGTTGATTTACTAGGGTAGCCTTTCCCTGCATCTCGGTAATCCGCAAGAAATCGGAGGAATTAGTTACTTCAACGACCTTGACAATGCTCGTTTTTCGTGCACACAGCAACTAAGAAATTGCCTCCGGTAAACGCAGCCTGTCAGGTTTCGGCTGACATTCAGAAAAGCATAGAAAATCGTCGAGATATTATCAATGTACTCAAATTTCGGGTGTTCAATGCCCTCTTGTGGGCTGTGTTTCTGCTCGTGTGTCGATATGCAATGAAGACTAGAGAACGGGGACATTGCTTATCTACGAGCCCTGATGACGCTAACTCAGAAGCACTCCACTCATTTAACACCCATATACTCCCGAAGAACAAGGTTCTTTGCCTCCACGAAAAATATCGCGGGTTATTGGAGCACCACAGTTGAGGTGGCAGTCGAATGATTTCATTGGCACCTCTAGATCGGTAGCCGCATCGCCAGCCGACACGATATTGATGCGGCCAACCGGCAAGATAGTTGACTGTCATCCGTCAGTATCTTGAAAATATTTTGCGCTCCATGGCCAACAAGAACTGAACTAATCGTTTAATGTTAAATTGGGATTGGCGAGAGAGAGAGAGAGGTTGGTAACAGTCGTGGACACAACACGTGCAGCTAGTGAGCGACAGCCCTTTTCTCCTACATCTACAGCTGTTGGTTCAACGGATGAAAGGGCACCTGTCAGAAGGGTTGTTTGTTTGAAACGCCTAGCCCAGCAGTTACTATTGTGGTCGCAGAAGTTGACTTGACCTTTTCTGTCTTCAGCTACTAGGAAACACAAGTTTTTTTTCGGGCGACATACTATGTGGAGCGCATGTGAAAATCGTCTCGAGTACAAATGCGCAACGATCGCGTTACGGCAATCACTCCCTCCGTTGTGTCCTGGGGCTCTTTCTCGAGTCCCGCCATCAGCCACGCAACGAAGCGTAATGTAAGCAGAATCGCATTACTGACGAGGACGAAAGAGACTGGGATGACCGTCTCTAACTTGTCAGCCGTCACCAGCCAGCCGTACACAATCCCGAGGCTCTAACTCGCGACCTGTTGGCTAGAAGTCCAGCACTCTAACCACACCCCGGGGTCGGGTATGGCTGGCTGATGACGGCTGACAAGTCAGAGATAGTCATCCCAGTCTTCCTCGTCCTCGTCGGTAGTGCCATTCCACCTACTAACCAACCGAAACCCGCCAACTCCTAAGTTCGCGAGTCGCTGCCGCATCTCCAGCATTCCGAGCTGATTTTGCGGTTCGATACCACTAGGCTTACTTTTAAGTGGAACCAACTTTTTGCCGTTTAATGGACAGTGGAATGCCCGTCACATTTGCTTCATTGACGCCAGGTCTGAGGTGTGAACTGCCAGCTCTTCGGCTTCTGGCCCAAGAGGAGGAGTCGGCGACTGGGGCTCATTGTCGTTGACCGCCCTTTCCCCAGACTCTTCGCCACTGTTTGACTAGGAACACTGATTGGTTGTTCACGGTCTAAATGAGCACAGGACTGGGTCCAGTTGCCGGTCCCTCCATCTGTCAACTCTGATGATGGTGAGAAAGGTGGCAATATATGCGGATACCGACTTCACAAAGAAACAAACGCAAGCAGTGCTGCGGTCCCGATGGACTCGATGCACAAGTCCGTCACGTCTAGAGAGCCTCTAGGGCCTTCTGCTCCTCGGTTTTCCGACCTACTTCCGATTCAATTGAAAGTCAGACTCGGCGATGATATCTCGCCCCTGTCATTCCGTCTGGCTCAAACTCGTGGGCTCGTCCAGCTCAATCTTCACCGACAGTGCCATACCACGTACTTCCATCCGCAAGTCACACCTGGTTCTTAGCCATTCCCCAGCCGACCTATCCCCTAAAATCGTTATAGCCTCACGACTAATAAACCGATGGAGCACAGTGGCTGTTGCACTTTAACGCGTCCAGCACCGGGGGCTGGCATGAGGTCCGTTTTGATCTTGACCTCTGCCTCAGACGCTCCTTCGTTTTTGCGCATTTCTCATGGCCGTTCGTCTGCCTTACCTTCCTTTACTTGTATTTTAGTTTCTACCGGATCACCAACCATCAATAATTGACTTAATGGACACCCTCATGTTCTCCCCCTTCTACCTATTTCGTGTTTGGCGGAAAGAGCAGAAATTGGTCATCAGACTGCATGAGGCCTTTGTAGACAATTGGGTAAGTGGGCCTTCCTTCCACCCATCCTCATACTCTTCTGATATTTAATTTAACGCCTTGTCATTTGTTGTTTTAGGACCTACCTTCAATGCGGGCCGAGGTGCATCTCACGGCTGACCACCTCCACTGGTACTCCTCGCGGCTGGTTGTCCATGCCGTCTTCAATCCGCTGACTAAAATCCTAAACAGTCATACCTGGGTGTTTTGCTTAGTCTTCATGCTGGCGGAGATGCTCCTCTTCAACCTCCTCCTCTTCTGCTTCCTCGTGATTCGCTATCATAAAACTGTGTTTGTCGCCTGCGTTGCCTTTCTTTCCAAGCTTGTGCCCGGTGGCACTGGTCCAGGTCCGCACAGAGCCAGTGTCTCCACGCAGACAACAGAAACTGAAAAGGAGGACCAAGAAGACCACGACGAATTGCCCGAGAGCGTCGGTGAGCCTCATGCGGCCCTAACTCTATCGACAACCCCTGCGACACAGCGAGCAGACGATGATGATTCTCCGGTTCTAATCTTGGGAACCGACTCCTCCTCCGATTCCTTTTAACGGTAAACTGCTCATCATTCCTCTTTTGCTCTTTAAAAAAGGTTAGGAGTTAAACGCTAGTATGCTTTTCTGAGCCTTCATGGCTTGCTTCGGATTCACCACCTAAATGTAAACATAACTTTGCTGTTCGGAGATGGCGCCTTTCTGCCACACGTAACCATCGTGGACCAAAAAACTGGTGTTAAGGAATTACACCTGAAAATATAATGTGTGCTCTACAATACGGGGCTGTCTCAAAACGACTCGTCTGGATCGGTAGTATCAGTAAGACTGAGCTTTGAACATTGGTTTTATTCTCAACGGGCGTGGCAGTCCCACACAACGATCGTGCTGTTAGATCCCACCTTGATGGGATCCTGCCAAACAGATGGACTGGACGAGGGAGTTTCGTGGAATATCCTCCTTGTTCCTCACTCCTCTGGGCCTTTTTATGTGGATTGGTTAGAATACAAAGTCTGTGTTAGAAACCGGCAACGGTCGCCGGACTGAGAATAGCTTCTGAATAGGAATGCGCTCAAATACCAAGAAATGTTCCGTGATGCTTGCGATTCTCTCGCCCCGCGTTGTCAACAGTGCGGACAGATTAACTAACAGGTGTCTGTAGGTACTATCTGATATTTGACGTGAAATGTGATTTTTTAAGCACTGTTTATACTTTTTTGGGACACCCCGTATATTTCATCTAGCCTTCGATAAAAATGATCAGCCGTGTTAGTAATTAGAACCGGACACCCGCCAGAGTTGTTGGGGGTTCTAAGACAGGCTCGCCGCCATATCAATTGGGTCAGGAAATTAGTACCATCTCAAAGTCGGAGGAAGCTGTGGTGCATCCGCTGATTTCAGGTTTGGGTCCGTTTCTGGGTGACGAAGGGGTTGTAACTCAGCACAACGCACTTCAGGAGGCCTATTTATGAACTGAGCTCCCGCCAGTTGTGCAGAAGTGAGTTCGTCGGAAGAGAGGAGTATCAACACTGCTCTGGAGAGGTGGCGGTTGTGAATGGCGCGTTAATTTGTCCACGAAAAAGAGGACTCTGTGTGCGCTTATGTCGTCATTTCTTATTGAACGCCTGTGTCCCAATGGCAGGCAGGACGACTGGATGTGGACGTGAATTCAGCGGCCAAGGAGCTTCGAGCCTTTTACCAAACAGGGTTGCAGGACCGACATATCTCGCGAATTGACAGTCTAAACCGAGATCGTCGACGCGTCGTGGCTAGGTGGGAAGCGCGTTTGGTTGGTTGCGGTGAGGGAAGTGAGGACTCTATGAGAACTCGTTCTAGTCCTTCGCTGGTGTTTGTTGGTACCTATGTCTGTTACTGACAACACTTGGACTTGCCCACCATAGTTGCGTCCGTCCCTTCAGCCTCGGGGGTCTAAGGTTTCTTAGCCTGAAGACTGGAATTCCATATCTATTGATTGGCTAGTTAAAAGGCATTTATTTATGGGTCAAAGATTCATTTTGCTTACGCTCGCATTTTATTTTGTTTTCCAGACATCGTCCGTATTTGTTCCCCCATCCATGCGGCAATCTCATTATTTGACCTCATTTTTTTCCATCACTTATTTTGCGCTTCTTTCTTTGCGATAAGAATAAATCGTGCACCGTCTCTTTTTCTTTTTCCGCAAATCTACCTGGACGTCCGACAAATAACCGCTCCTCAGGTTAAGATGCCGCCCCTAGCCTCATGCCTGCCTGCTAGTTTATGATTCTAGGATAGGCTACTTTGAGAAAATAGGACTGGTTTGTGTCGGCAGTACATTTTGGTGGAGGACCTCATCAGCCCTGCAGTCCAAATTCACCCGCGAATCCAGTATTAGAGACAGCAACAGATAACGGTGCCCAAGGCACCGGGCCGCTTAGCAACCGCAGCTGGCAGCCCCCGCGCTTACTGCTGGTGTTCGATCTTCCTGCGGTGGTGGCTTGGTCGCCTGTGCCCTAGTCCTTGTTTGTCGCGATCCCACCAGCGTTTTTGGTAATGGGTGTGGTAATTGCCTGTCAATTGGACTCACCAGTGCCTGCCATTGAGGGTGGTGTTCATCCACGCGTTTCCCCCATAAGTAATTAGTCTACCCAGGCAGCCTTCGCATTCCATTGGCCGGGGCAAGATAGCCACGCCTCTTGATCGACCGCAGGTTGTAGGACCATGACTCGAGTAATTTTGGAGATGTCAGTCTCTCCGACCTCTAAGACCCGCCGAGTTGGCCGTAACCCGAGAGCTGCCATCATGTTGCCTCGTTGTTGATGAAGGCTCGGCTGTCCGCTTATGGAGTAATCTTTCTGCTTTACTGGCCTAGTTCTGTCCACAAACACACCTGGTGCGGTGACGACCAGCCAGAGATGGGCTACACAGAGACGATTATCAGATGCCGTGGTGACCCTGAAAGACTGTGCTACGGCAAGGAACACCTGAATTCGAATGCCCCATACAAGGCCTTAGCATGCATAATTCGGCCAATTAACAAAAGTCAGTGTCCTTGATTCAGTCTTCACATGGTCGCGTTTTTCTAGCGTGGTCTGCGAAGCGAGCACAAGTCTTCATTCAGTGGCCAAGACTGGGAGCCTGCCGCTTCTTCTGTACAACGAATGAAGCAGACTCCTAGGGCAGTGTGGTCAACAGATTCCGTACACATTTGGGTTTCTCGTCCTGAGAAGCATCCGGCATATGAGCTTAATTACGATCAAGGAGCATGGATTAGGCGTCTCCCCCAATGGTGGTCAATATCGGGTCGGGTGACCGTCGTTGCGGCGTCGCACGGTTTGCGAACGAACTACTAGGTTGCCGTTAAGGTGCGACCTTGCTGCTAGCTACGGCGTGCTAACGGATTCATGGAATATAATCAACTTGAGGAGGAGCTCCAAGTGTTGCGGAGCAGCTACCGACCGTCACAAGTGAGGTCCGTCGCGTGTCCCATGTACTGGGCGCAGCACCGACGACTCACGCGTGAATTAGTTCACAGTGGGGCAGACTTGCACGACATCTGATGGATCCCCTATCTGCCAGACTCTGATGGCAAAATACTGTCAAGGCGATCAGTGGTGGGCTCGGACGCAGCGGTTAATAAGGCTAAACAGTCTGTCTATGCCTACCCCACACAACTTGGTCCCGCTTGAGATGTTACAGGTTTCTTTGAGGACGACTCGGACCTCATATAGGTGGGAATGCCATAAAGACAAACTCGAGATTCCCATGAAATTGAGTCTTCACACCCAGACAACCATGGGTAGGTTCCCCTTATTCTCCGTGGGCCGTGTCAGTCTATGCTACTTTGGGCGTGTTCGTTTCTGTCAGGCCGGCTAGTCACGGCCTACACTAAGCTGAACCCACTCTCAACTGCGTAATCCAAACTCAAGTAGCTCTATGTAGCGCTCGCAGTCTAATACCCCGCTGCACGTGAACGAATGAATGACAGCCGCATATGACTCACGAGTGCTTCCACAAGCAATCAGGAAGTGCCCACGTAGACGAGCCAACACGTGCGGAGCTAGACCGAGACACTCGATTTTTGTATCTTATTCTTGCCTAAGTTCAGTCAGCGGAAGACCCATTCAACACCTACGACCAGGAAAACAGATACGCATTCAGCCTGCGAAGATGGCCCAACCGACGGGTAGCCGGACCAAACATGCCGAAGTCCAGCAGACCTCGCTACCTGACAGTCTGTCGGGGTATATCGGGTAATTATGAATAGGTTTGGACGGGTACCAATCCGTGCGCCTGCTGATTCACCGGTCAGACCTCATCTACGGACCGTCTGCACAGTATGTCCGCGAATACGCCCGGGTGGATAAGCTAGTTTCCGCACGATAAGTATGACTGACGACGAGTTTGTGTCACTAACATCAAAATTCACGAGCACAACTCGATTTTCCGAATACCCTTCCCTTCTTTCAATATGCCAACTTGGGATGTACGCCACGTCAGTTATTCAATAACTGTCACTGTCTACCTTGATCCTCATCGGTACATGGCTGTCTCGCACTTGGGCAGGCGGTTGTCTTTTGGCAACCCCAGTTATTCCTCCGTGTGCGGATCTCCGGTTTTTATGAGTAACTTCTGACTAAAATACTGATTCCTCGTCTAAACTAGGTTCAATCCCGGTGTAAGAACTCACGTGCCACTAGATCACGCTCATCACACTCCGTCAGCTTTCAGAGCCGACTAAGCTTTTAAAGTGCACACATTGGTCTACCTAGCTTCTAAGGCCGTTCGTGACATTGTAAATGGACCACTTATTTTCCTCGGAGTCGGTAGGATTGGACTTCATGGAGAAAAAATTTACCGAGGGCATGTGATCCAGCCCTTGAGGCAAGGTTAGGGCATAGTGACAAAACTGAATACACAGCTCGAGCTTGCATTCAAGTCGGAGTCCGGAAGCCCCTTCTCACAGCAAGTGCCTGACCGCAGTGCGAATGACGAGTAAGTCGAACCAAAGTTGAGGTGGGGACTTGATCCGGCACAGTTGGACTACTAGCTACGCACCATGGGGCTTAACAAAGACGAGGTCAAACCAACAAGCCAACCGGTAACGGGCGAGATTTTGCGCGTTATCAGCCACGCTAAGCAGTCGTGTCAAAGGAATCAGTGGAACAATTAATAACCAAATACTGAAAACAGTACTGAACCGAGCTTTCAGAGCAAGAATAAGCCGGCTTTGTGGAGACATTTAGAATGGTATACTTGAACTGAGTAGAAAGACGTTCTTTAACCTCCGGCCACACAACACCCGCCACTAGAAAAATCCGAGATCCGCTTCCATATGTCTTTCATTACGTATTCACCGTTTAAAGGACCGAGCATAAGTCGACACTAGATGTCGACCGCAGAAGCGAGCACATGTATCTCGGTCTCCGCTCATCTAAGACACGGATAAAATCAACACCAATAAGCGGATGGGAATCCATCCTCCAAATCGCAGAGGTAAACCGGACTCTTCGAGCTAAGCAAAAGGACAAAACGAACAGCGTCAACTAGCTTCGTGAAGTAAGACCCGTGTCAAGGGGCAGATTTCCGAAACGCTAGGCAGTTGGTGGGGTAAGTTATAACCTCAATACAGCAAGGGATGACCGCATAAACGCATGAAAGGGTGGATTCTAGCAACGGTCTTAGCGCTAGATGAAGAAGTAGGGACATATATGCACATAAGGCTGGCAGACCGAAAGTCGGTCAGTGGCACATCAGTAGCGACTGGGGTACTGCAACTATAACCTTAAGTGGCCTATCTTCTGAACGAAGAGGCCGCGAAAGGAGCGCACGTGCGCCAAATTATCCCTTAAGTGAGGGACCCTTACATGAGGAAATAAAGTCGGGTTCCATAGCGTCGGGGAATGCTCTACTAACATGCCAAACGCATTAATTGTAAGTTGTGGGGTTTTAAGACAAACAAGCCTCGGAACTGCTGCGGGACCACAATAGCATAGATTCAAGGAAGGATATCCGGATGACAGTTCGACCATCGGTTTCGATGATGTCCACCGTGTGCCCCACAGTTGCAGCAGCAATGGATAGAGCGTGCAAATCAAGGCGTGACCCAAGAAAAGACTGCTTAGATGGAGGCCCTACGGACGGCGGTAACTGGGACCCGGCAAACACAGGACATATGCAGCTGCATAGAGGAAGAAGGCCCAGGACTGTCTATCCGTTTTCATAAAAGTATATACTAAAAACGATTTCTATCTGTACCGAAGTTTATTCACAAAATCACTTGTTCTCGTGCATGTAAGTCAGACCACATTTCCCACAGTAATGCCGGTCGAAGTGGCTTGCCATGAACACACCAGCTCCACACTCCTTGTTAGGGCATTCACGTCGCAACCGCGTTACCTTGCCGTTCGTATCAACCTACGAGAATCAACATTGGTAAACATCGAGTACCTTGTAAAATTTCAGAGCAGCCAGCTTTATCTTCTTTGGCTTTCGCTTGATCTTCTTAGGAGTGGTATAGACCTTCTTCTTTCTCTTTTTGGCACCCCCCAAAAGCTCAACGTTTAATTCGACGTTGGCGACGTCTGAATCCAAGAAATCACCCAGAACGGCATCATCCTCAAGGGGGACACCTTTGTGGGCCAAACGCTGGGCTGCGAAGGGCAAACCCTCAAGGAGCTCGATTTCTTTCTTGAGATCCTGGACAGTGCCGGAGTGTTCCCGAGCGAGGGAGAACGTCGAGCCATCGGGCCGACGGATAAAAAGATGCATTCTCAGACGACGTGCAGATGAGTCCAAAAGTGGCGCCACCGCGAAAGTGGTGTATTTAAAGTGCCAGCGTTTGCGTTTTCTTACCTCTCAAGTTTAACGAAGACGGGATTAACTGATGTCAGGTCAGGTTTACGCTTGGCTGGATAAAAGTAGAGTAATTTCAAAACGATGCTTCATATTTTTGGCCGCTTTGTCGTGAATATCCCGGCCTGCCACAGAAAAAACTAAGAGGTGAAAGAGATAAAAATCCACGCACGAAACTGGATGCGTGTTACTGCGTACGAACGGCCGAGGACATTAAATAATATTATCTCAGTTGACTTACTTTGCTTTGTTTATACTACCGCGTCTACCGCAAGAGAACAAATCGTTTCCAGTATTATGCCCTCGCGTACATTTGTTATTTCGTTGTTCAAACCACCCTAACTGCCAATGTGACGGTGTGTGAATTACGTCCGTCTGGTTCTTCGGTTTATAAGCGACTTCAATGCCTTTTAGAAATGGGTGTGGAGATTTTTAGTGTATGCGCATTCCCATTAACATCACAGATCTCACGGATTGGACTGTCAATCTGTCGACGTCTGTTCTCAGCCTACTCTGAGGAAAGGCGAAAGGTTTGGGTCCTTCCAGACGACCTGGAAACTATAGATACTGAAAGAAGCTGACGAGTCCTACTGTTTTGCAACGGTTTTCCCAAAATTTTAATATCACAGTTGGGTTACGGGAACCGGGCTTGTGGGCAGTATCCAGGGCGCGGCCGGATAGTGTTCGCGCAGGAGATATATGGCTCCCGAGGGTCAGTGCAAGTACGATCACAGATCTGAATCCGGGTTACTTCGAAGTAACAAGGATTCCTGGGTACTTTTAACAGACTTCATCCGTAGACAAAATAGATGACACCTGGCGGACTTTTTTGATATTTCAGTACATTTTAAGGTAATTAGCAGGCATACACTTTTCTGTCAGATAACAGGAGACAGTTGTTAAAAATCGCACCAGAAAAGTCCTTTGCTCACAACCGGCATTGACACGGACAACGCGAAGTCAGCGTCAGCTCCAGCTGTGAACAAAATAAATCAGGCCTTCATTGTCAGTCCATCATTCTTCTCAACCCACCTCTGATGAGGTTTTTCCATATGTACGTATGCATGCATCCATGCATGCATGTGGGCCCTCAAACGAGCCCTGGGGTTAACGCGCCGGTCCAGTAGGGGAAGGGGCATATCGGATTCTGCAGGCGTTATCGGAATACATGCCATAACTAAGGCCAATATTTCGGAATGTGGTGGCAGACCCGGTTGCCGGTGGACGTCGCGCACTCTGAGACCCCTGCCGCCCCCCCATCGCTGTTGTTGGATAAAAACCTGGCCATTTGCTATGTGGACAGGGGGCGTGGATTGGAACGCCAAGGCACGGGCTCAGCCACGCCATCTACCTTCGCCCCCCCCGCCTCCGGTCCGCTTGACTCTTTCTTGACACCTGCCCGGGTGGGAGAGGACGAGAGTGGCGCATGTGCTGTGAAAGTCCATTACCCCTATAAACTAATTTACGCACAAATCACCGTCCCTGAACTCACCTTGATGTGGAGCATACGGAGAACATCGTTGGAAATGACGATCGAACTGTCGTGAATGTATGTATGTGTGTATGCAGTTGAATTGTTAGCGACAGAGCCCTTGATGAGCCCACTTATGCATACCAATTTCGGATATTCGCTCTAAAAATAAAGTTGCAAACCTGTAACACGTGATCGGTTCACAATCTATATTTATATAAATGGAAGGGTTTTTCCGTGTGTTATAGGTAATCTCCGAAGGTACAGCACCGATTGCGCTGAAATTTGGACAAGACACAGCCAGCGCATAGGGCTGGGTTTTCTTCTGTTCAGTTTTGCACTTATGCCGATGGTATGCTTGTGATGGGTAAAAAACGGATTTTTTCCGGCATAACAAGGTCACCTGCTGCGACCACCTGACCCGCATCCACGCGGACACACGGCGCCCAGACTGTGGCCACTTGACCGACATTCGCTCAAACGTACTTGCTCTGCCCGACAGCCGCGCTCACCCCACCACCCACCCTGCAGACACTTGAGCAGGCCCTCCACCCTCTCTGGGCCGATGCAATCTGGGACGGTAGGCAAACCACCCACCCTGTAGCAAAAAACACGCAACTCTTGGGCTCAACTTGAACTTGTTCCACACTACCCTCATTAATGTGGCAGTCGCCGTTTCCGCTGGGATTCTCGGGCGCGACGAGTGAATGCGGTTAACGAAGACCTTTCTCCCCTCCCCCCGCACAGGCCACATAAGTGACTGTCACCCAGTGTCAACCCAGTGTCGTGCAGATCGGCTTGAGGGAGCCCGGTTACGGTCACGGCTACCGCGTTCTGCAGCTTCAGGTCTGCTTGGTTCAGCAACAGAGTGAAAAATACCGATTTCAACACAATATCCATTCACTTTTCGGGATGGTGCCGTTGGATATCACTTCAACGTTAAGATGATAAATGCAGTCAGTGACGAGGAAATGCACGCGAAATGTAGTGGAATGAATTACTACTCCTTCCGACTTATGCTTCGACAGAATGTAAGTAAATCCCTTTTGAGATGCCGTCACTTGCATCGTCAGTGCATTGTGAATACGCATGCAAAAAATCGAAACAGGACGTCTTCTTTTCATTCACTTGAATACGACCAAACTGCGCTATAAAGAATATATTCCTTTGCATGATGCAGTTGTAAACGACGGTACTACACCTACCATTGTGGGACTACTGATTTTTGTCCTCCACATACACAGACAGTTCACGCCATACGCTGGGGTACGCTCGAGGTGCGATCAGTTTGTTTGTCTGTACGGACGTCCAAATCTACTCTTTACATTCACATGCAATCCAACTTGGAGAGATAATTATCAGCTCTTACTTCCCGGGTTATCGCCGGTGAATTGGTAGGACATCACAGTACATGTTTTTCTGCAGAAAACCGAAATCGCTGATGAGCTTCATGGTGAAACATGAACTGTCTCGGTCTATGCACTGTAGGATGTATTAGGAGGAATGGTAAAAAAGGGGATTCCAGGACGAATGTTACTTACTCCGCACGGTGTTGGTGAATGTGTCCTGTGCAACGTCTTTCCAGCAATTGAAATCTGTCTATGGCGTTACGCATGCCACTTCCGTTGGTATATGCCAGGCTCTTAATTTACTGGAAACCTGCCCATACTGCGATGTACGCATTAGTTTTGCGTGCAACCACCTAATAGCTGCAACGCTGCTACTTGGAGGAAAACCCCTTCATTCAAATTTGACGTTGCCTTTGAACGTGCAATTCATGGAAACTCCCATGCGCTACATCTCTCCGGTTTCCCCAACGGGATAAGTACTGCAGAAATGCAAACTTATTACCTGGGATGAATGAGCAATGGCGCACGACAAAGCACTTAAGGCCATTGATCGATCGCTGCTAGTTCGCTCGGATGCAGCAGATCATTTGGAGTCATAACTGCTACTGCTTGCAGGAGACTTCAGGCAAATCCTACCCGTAATTCCTCCGTCGGCGACAGCGGACAAAATAAATGTCTGTCTGAAATGCCCTACCTTATGGCGTCACGTTCAGACGGTAAAATTTACCACAAGTATGCATGTCCAGCTGCAAAACGACGGGTTAGCTGAGGTATTCCTACGGTAATTGCTGACATATGGGAATGCAACGATGCCTACTGATCCGATTTCCCCACCTCTTACCTTCGGTAATTCGATTGCCCCAAAAGAGGAATTGGTTGAAAAGGTGTTTACGAATATTCAGATCCCTTACAACAATCACGACTGCTTGAGTGACCGAGTTTTTGCTGCGGCCAAGTACAAGGACGTCCGCCATTTTAACCACATTATTCTGTCTAGAATTTACGACCAGGCAGTCGCGTATACGTCCATCAACTCTGTTGTGCACGCAGACGACGCAGTTAATTATCCAACAGAATTTTTAAATTCCCTTGACCTACCAAGGATGCCGCCGCACGTACCGCAGTTGCCAATCTGCCTGCCGATTATCATGCTGCAAACTTTTAGGTAACCGAGGCTTTGCAATGGCACGCGGCTTGCTGTAAAAAAAGATGCTGAAGCAAAACCCATGAAAATGCAACTGTAGAACAGTACTTGGGTTTGCCCCCACGGGATACTTGATCGACTGTTACACTTGCTCCGGGAATCCGGGTCGGACTGGATGCAGTCAACTATTGCCCGCCCCCGACAGCGCATAGGAGGGCAGTCGCGGGTTTCGCATGCAATAAGTCCCGCCAGCCGGTGACCCTTACTTTTTTCCCAGTTGGAAACGTGTCCCCCACCCACCCTGCAGATATTTAAGCATGCCTCCCCTACCCGCTGGACTGATGCCATATGTGTTCCTAGGGCGAACCACAACCAAGGAACAACAGACATGCGACTCTTGTGCTCCATTTGAACTTGCCGCACAGCACACACAACCGGGCTGTCATCGCTTCCGATGGGATTCTCGGCCGCTACCGGCTGCAGTTAACACTATCCCCCCTTCACCCCTCCTCTGCTTCGGCCAGCGGTCTCTGTCGCAACTTCACCGCAATCCGCTCGGACAGACATGCGGCCGAGTCATTTAACCGACAACTGCTCGAACACCCGCGGCGTTGTGACGGCCGCGCCTACCTCCGTAAACTGAAACATGCCCTCTCCACCTGGGCCGACGAAATGTGGGCCGCTAGGCGAACCACCCCCTCCCTCGGGGGAAAAAACCCATGCAAATCTTCGACGTTATTTGAATGCGCGTAGAAGCAGGGGTGGGGGGCAGTGCCAGAGGCCACTTGAAACTGCCCCACGAGCCACAAAATTGAGGGTGTTACCGCTTTCTTAGGGGTTTTCCTGCTTTGCTGGGTGCAGTTCACATCACCCCCCCCGCCTAGGCCAGCGACCCCTGCCGTAACTTGACCGCAATCCGCTGGGAGAGATGTGTGGTCCTCTCGAAAACACG